GTCAAGAGTAGGCTATTAGTAAAGCTTTGGGTGAGTCAAAAGTTATACATGGACTTTCCACCATGCATGGGGCCAGTGCATCTAACCCTTGTGTTTGTTCAAGGGGCAACAGTATTATTTGTAATATTAATTGATTTTGTGAACTGTTTTTTCATAGACATGGGAAAATACCTAGAAAAACAGTGTTTGGAGGTCCCTTATAGGTACAGCGACCCTGGAGTAATTATTGACAGCGAGTACCCCTTCTCAGAAGGGTTCCAGTTTGTACAGTCATGGTCAGGCAATTCATGCCAGTCAGAAGTCATTCACCAACTGTCCTACGAGTTGTTTCCTTTTCCTTCTTCTTTGAAGCTCCTATTTCTTGGCCTAGCTTATGTGGTATATTTTGTAGTCATTGTTAGGATAAGATCTTTCTTTCAGTGAATCTTGACCTAGCTACTGTTCTAAGCTGATGTCTGGGCCTGATTTTGGTGTCAGCGGTCAGAACCCAGTGGCAGGCACTGTCTTTCCAGGAGCGTGTCCAGCTGGTACAGTGGCCCTCAGGTAGTGCAGCTGGACTGAGATGTAACCATCCTCTCAGCGAGGTGCCATTTTCACCCTCATAGATCTTTTTAAATTCGTTCTTCTTACAGCTTTATTGAATTATAATCCACGTGCAATAAACATACTTAAAGTATATATTTTGCTAAGTTTTGACATAGCAAAACTGTGAAACCGTCACCACAATTAAGAAAATGAACATTATCCATCATCCCCCCCTACCAAATTTCCTCATAATCCCTTTGTAATCCTACTTCTCTTCCTCCCCATGATCTGTTTTCTGTCACTATACATTGGTTTGTATTTTCTAGAATTTCATATAAATAGAATCATACTTTGTTGTACTTTTTTTGGGCAAGGGAGGTCTGTCGTATTCCACTCGGCATAATTATTTTGAGATTCATCCATGTTGTGTGTATCGGAGGTTCATTCCTCTTTATTGCTGAATAGTAGTCTGTCAAATACATATACCATGATTTCTTTGTCCTTTCAGTTCTTGATGGACATTTGGGTGCTTTCCAGTTTTTACCTGTTACAAATAAAGCTGCTATGAACATTCACATACAAGTCCTTGTATATTTTCATTTCTCTTGGGTAGATAACCGAGGAGTAGATTGGATGGATTATGCCATTAGTAGGTGGAATGGGTAGGTGTTTAAACTTTTAAAATAAACATTTTTAGGTATCATAGATCTGTTTTCTGCCAAGAAGAAGGAAGTCATTTCCACTCATGGCTAACAACTAAAAGTGCTACCACAGTTAAAGGCAGTAAATTCAGGACTTTCCTTCCCTTAAAATCAACAAGCTAATTGTTACATGTTTTCTAATTGGTTATAAATGAATTTTAGGCTTCTGGTTATCAGTATAAAATAGTGCTGTGTTAAAAATCACACCGGCTAGAAACTGAAGGGCAAACCATGTTTTAAAAATTGTTTTCTCTTCTGTAGGACCTATGGTATTCATCTTACATAAAAGTAGAGTTGGCAAGGAACTTGATGGATAAGAGTTGTGAGTTCATGTTCAACCGAAGCAGAATGAGTGGGAAAATAACTTTATTACTATTAAATCTTGCCCAGATTTCTTCTAATCCACAGCAGTTTCCTGGGTGATAGCTATTTGACAAACCCAAAAAACTACCAAATAAATATATAAATATTTAAGGGAGCTCATTTTTATTTCTTAAAAGATATAATGTTCTGTGTGATCTTAGTAGGCAATCCGCCGGAAGCTTTGCACAGCCAGTTTTGTGCTGGTGAGCGAACGTAGGGTGGATTATTTGGGGAGGAGGAGGGGGACTAAGGTTTACTGGCCAGCTGCTATGTGCTGGCACTGCTGGGGGTGCCTTCTGGACATTGTCTCATTCCGTGGTCTCCTGTTGCAGTTAGCACAAAGACCCTTAGCAGCCCAGTACTATCCACTGGTCCAGCCTCATCTTTCGTCAGTGTAGCATCCTGTGCTTGAGCTAGTCCTATTGCTTTCAGATCTTCAAATGTGCCTTTTCTGTCCCCTCCCAGCATCCTCACATGCTGTTCCCTCTCCCTGACTCTTTGCTCCCCCGCCCCCCAGTGGCCCTCAGAACCAGTAGCTTCTTACCCTTCTGGGCTGCCTGGGTTTAGGGCTCACTTCCTTGGGTGCCTGCACTGTGTAAGACTCTAAGTCCTATTAGAATAGGGACGTATCTTCCTTGTTCACCATTTTATTCCTGCCAACTAGTGTAGCGCTTCGTGGTATTTGTTGAAGGGATGAACAAGCAAACCTTCTCAGATGGATAATTTTATCCCCAAGTCACATAGCTTGTGAGGGGCGGACCCCAGAGTTCAAATGGAAGACAGACACCAAAGCCATGTTTTTTCCAGCCCACAGTTGTAGTCACTAAACACTCAGGAGGACTGGCAGGCAAACAAGGTAATTGAATTGAAACAATACACCTAATTACATAATTGATCCAATATAGAAACATAGTGAAGCCAATTTTCCATAAACCTAATCATGAAAATACTGGTTTTACTCTCTCCTGAAAATTGGGTTATTCTGATTTTAGACTTAACACAGTTTAAAATAAATGATCCAATAAGGACAGCCTGTAAATCCAGTGGAGTTTGTGGGATCCTGAGATGTATGACCCTGAAAGTACTTTGTTCTTAGGGTCAGATTCACCTGTCCCATGCCACCCGCCCAGTCATCTTTTCTTTAGCATGTTTATAAAGACAGAAATCTCTGCCCTCCAAGGTATACCGTTAAAATGTTGGAATATTTTTTGGGAGTGATACAAACCTCTTTGCTTGAATAAAAAGCTACAGATGCTGTTATTTTTCTTTCTCTATATTTTCCTTAAGTCACTCTCCTTTTGCATTATAGATCTCTTTCCCCTTTAAAGAACCTTACTGTATCCTTTGGGGTCTGACCACTGTTTACCTTTCCAGCCTCATCTTTTGCCCCTTACACCTCAAAGTTTTTACTCCATTTACATAGAAGTTCTTGAAATCCTTGACTAAGATTGGTGCCCCTCTTGTGAAACCCTTTGCTTACCCTGTTTCTTAGCATCCTTTGTATTCTTGTGAGATAGTCCGTGGGATTGTGTCTCCTGTACTGGACCATAAGCCTTTTTAGGGCACTGTCTCATAAGAACATATACATCTCAGAATCCCCAGAACCTGACATAGTTTCCAGCACGTACTGTAGTTATGTAGTAGATTGTAAAAATAATCATTCTTGGGCCTCATATCTCCTTCAATATGAGATAATAAGTTGGAGGTGGTTCAGAGCACGAAGCCAGGATATAGTCATTACTTTAACTTCCTTGCTTGCTCTGGACCTGCAAAATTTGGCTTCTAGGTTAAATTAGTCTTTTGTGGTTCAAATTTCCATTGTGGAGTGCTAGCAGCATTCTAGCCCTGTTATCTCTTTGGCTCTTTGTGTTTTGTTTTTTAAATTATTTTATTTTTAAGTAATCTCTATACCCAACGTAGGGTTTGAACTTACAACCCTGAGATCGAGAGTTGCATGCCCTACCTGAGCCAGCCAGGCAGCCCTCTCTCTGGCTTTTTGAACCAAAGCAGAACGCATACCTACAGTTTCCCCCGAGTTAGAGTGTTCAGCAGGATTAACCACAGAGTGTTTAATTTTTTAAAAAATTGAATGAAATTCAGTCCACAGGCTGTTAATTATAACCCCCTAAATCATGTCGAAGGGTTTGTTTCACATCAGACCAAATGCCCCTTTAACTTGTATGCCTCCTAAGCTGAGAGCCTGGAAATAAATTCCTGACTTCTGCTTCCCTCGGCTATCCTATATTTGGTTGAACTTTTCATTTTTTATTTTTCTCAACATGGTTTTCTAATTTAGGCCTTATTTTCCTGAAGTCAGAGCCAGGCCAAATACAGGCATCAGTAAATTTCTCACAGTTCTTCTCTGAGAATTAAGGAGAGCCATACAGATCAGGGTTGTCTGCTGTCATGTTTGAAAGGCTTACGTGTGCTGAGTGACCACTTTTCCTCTAAAACCATGAATGCCTCCAGGCTAAGTACTGTTTCTAACTCCATTTCTAATTCCCCAGCACCTAACTCACTGTTAGACACTTAAGTTGTTGTTAACAAAAGTAAGTTTTTATATCACACTATCAAGATCATTTCCTTTTGAGGGGCGCCTGGGTGGCTCAGTCGTTAAGCGTCTGCCTTCGGCTCAGGTCATGATCCCAGGGTTCTGGGATCGAGCCCCGCATTGGGCTCCCTGCTCGGCGGGGAACCTGCTTCTCCCTCTCCCACTCCCCCTGCTTGTGTTCCCTCTCTCACTGTGTCTCTCTCTGTCAAATAAATAAAATCTTAAAAAAAAAAAAGATCATTTCCTTTTGAGTAGACACTAATTAATAAGTACTTGTCAGAATCAGTGTAACAACCTATCACAAGGTTCTGTAATTAAGAGGTTGAGGAAGATATATAAGCACTTCGGTATTACTTGAATATAAGTAGATAAGCCAGAAGAATTTAGATCCTGGTTAAGTTCAGAACAGAAAAGCAGTGAATGAAGTTTAAATATTCTAAAAGGGATTTTTTAAGAACTTAAAATTACTTACAGATTTAGGCTGTTTCATTTTTGCAGGTTTTGTCCATAGACCTTTCCTTGAGATTCTTGAGAAACTTTACATACTAATCTACCTTAAGAATGTGAATAGAGACGCCTGGGTGGCTCAGTTGGTTAAGCATCCCACTCTTGATTTTGGCTCAGATCATGATCTCAGGGTTGTGATATCAAGCCCTGCATTGGGCTCCATGCTGGACTTGGAGCCTCCTTAGGATTCTCTCTCTCCCTCTCCCCCATCCCCCCCAAATCTCTTTGTCTCTCTAAAAAAAAAGTGCAAAATTTTGCTGGTGTCAAAATTGAATGTGTGATCAATGAGCAAGAACTGAAAGGTCTCTGTTCTAGGCAGGATCGAGAACTTCTTTTTTTCTAATTCCACACAGACACGTCTTCGGCCTCTGAGGATGAGGGCTCTCTGAGACGCCAAGCTGCGCTCTCTGCTGCCTTGCAACAGAGCTTACAGAATGCTGAGTCCTGGATCAACCGTTCAATTCAGGGATCGTCCACTTCTTCATCCGCATCTTCTACGCTGTCCCATGGAGAGGTCAAAGGAACCAGTGGGTCTCTAGCTGATGTATTTGCCAATACTCGAATAGGTAGGAGCTGGATCTCCCCAAGAAGCTCAAATTATGTTCCATTTGGCTCCCAGCATCCAGGAAATAGTTTATGATTTGTATTAGGTTTTTCAGAGTGGCCTAAGAAAATCAGAACGAACATAACAGTTAATGGGGCAAAGAAGGAAACACCTGAAATACATTTGGAATGATAGGCATCATCTGCATTATTGGTGCATAGCATTGCCCACCTGAAGCCATAGCTATTTCCATAAGCAATACTCAAGCTGCAAGATATAACACCAGTCTTAATGTGGGTTTATCCCTGTTAGAGAATATTCCATGTATTAAAAGGTGTTAAACTATGTAACATCTTAGGTTTTCCCAGGATTGTTATCTGTGTTTTCTCAAACAAAACCCATAAAACCTGAACAAATTCTGCACTAAGACAGTATCAGTGAAGCCCTTTGTCTTTAGCATAAAGACTGGATTTATTGTCCTTGCTGCTGTGTTATTGCTACACCTGGGGCGTGCAGGCTGAGGATGTTGGTGCTCTGTGAGCTGCTACCTGCTGCCGATGCGCCTGTATGGACTGTAGCTTTTGCTTGGCTCTGCTTTACGTTTTTGTGTGTGTTTTTTTAAGAGTTTGTGACATCTGCAGGTAAAGATACAGCTCAGATCTCTGCTGCTAAATTGGTTGGTACATATTGCACTAAGTAATGTGTTTTGAACATCATGTGTCTGTGGTGTCTTAGTTTTCGTATCAGTGACCTTTCTCTATTACCTTACATATATATATATCTTTAATCTATTAATTGATTTCTGAAAAGAAAAACTTAGAAAATTTGTAATTCAAGCCTGTAATTAGTAAAGAACATAGCTACCTGGAGGGTATGATTGCCCACATTAAAAAGCTAAGTGCCAACAGCTGGTGCCTTGTCGTGCACTCTTGGCTCTGCCCTGTAATTCACTGAACCTCTTAAAGTAGCTACAGATGAGCACGCTCACCACCTCTTCTGTTTGGAAGGACAAGCAGCAGAGCCAAGGTTGGGTCAGGTTTTATTTCCACATTTGTCTAAAAGAGAGCAATTTCAGTTATTAAAAATATTGTCCTTTTTTTTTAATACTTTATTTATTTATTTGACAGAGAGAGACACAGCGAGAGAGGGAACACAAGCAGGGGGAGTGGGAGAGGGAGAAGCAGGCTTCCTGTGGAGCAGGGAGCCCAATGCGGGGCTCGATCCCAGGACCCTGGGATCATGACCTGAGCAGAAGGCAGACCTAATCCCCAGTTAACTCTGTCTGGATTTTTGTTAACAAGATGATTTCATCTGACCTTATATTTTTTCTCTTGCTTCTGCTAGTCTATGAAAAGTTTTTTGTTCAGGTACTCAGAGAAACTGTTTTATCTAACATTATTGCCTTTTGGATGTTTGCTCTAACAGAAGCAATTCATCTTCCCAGTAGAAAAATTTGAAGGGACAAATAAAGATAATCTATAAAGCCATTTCCCATGGATAACACTTTAATGTGTCTCTTCCTAGATTTTTTTTGCATATGAATATGTAGGGTTTTGGTCTTTTTTACAAAAATGTAATTGTACTAAACAGTGTTCATAACTTGCTCTTCTTAGCAGTGTATCACAAACATCTTTTAGATCATTAATATAGAATTATACTATATTTTTATGGTTTCAAAGTATGCCATTATATGGTTATGCTTTGGCTTATTTAGCCATTCCCCTGTTTTGGACATTTAGCTAGTATCCAATTTTTTGTTATTGTAAAAACTGCTGAAAGGAACATCCTTGAACACACAACTTGGTGCGTTTGTCTGATTATTTCTTTAAGATATATTCCAAGTAAGTGGAATTGCTGGGTCAAACAAAAGTGCCTATTCTTAATGCTTTGTTACTTCATTATCCTACAGAAAGGTATACTGTAGTATACTTGTGCTAGTATATTTAGAACTTTAAAAACTATTGAACTAGTAAGAGCAGACTTTTAGGGCATAGAGACCTTACTCCCAAACTTATTTTAGAAATTGTTTATATTATGCTTTTTGTCTTTTTTATAGTTTTGAGTGGCTTGTTGTTATTCTTGTGAATCATATATTTTACTTCCTCTAATTTTCCTTTCCTTCTCCAGATGTTTTTCTAAGTTTTTTGTAACACATCCCTGTTGAATGGCTCTCCTCCAACTTATGTCATTCAGTTTCTTAATATTAAGGATCCCTACATGAAGCAGAGTACAATAACATTATTTAATCATGCTTCAATCAAGGGAAGAACCTTGTGTGTCAAGTAGATCTGAGGTTCTTGTGGATTATTTTATAAAAATTGGAAGTGGGCTTTATCTGGTTTTCTTCATCTGGAGACCTGAGGAATCTGACCCCACTCCCAAGACACTCCTTCCATTTTCAGTGGAAGAAGAAACATAGATAAGCCAACATAAACATGAAGAAATGCTTGAGACTAGAATATTAGTAGCATTATGACCATACTCACTTTGTTTTCATTTTGAAGTCACTCACAGTTTTTATTCTATTATGATTATTAATATTGAAATTCTACCAGTCTTTCTGTGTAGGAAAGAATGTTTTTCAGGAATATTTGATGTGTGATTTGCTCTTACTTAAGGCTATTCAAATTTTTAAAAATAATTTTGATATGCCCTTCCTTAACCTCTTGCCCTCACATTATATCTTCCTAGTAGAATTTGATTTCAAAGGTTATTTTATAACAGTTGATACCCTGTTTATGTAATTTTTTCCTTGTTAAGAAACAACAAAAATTTAAAGAATTTTTTTATTGCTAATGTAATATTCTAAATTTTGTTTTCTCCCCTCTTAGAGAATTTCTCTGCTCCCCCTGATGTTACTACAACTACCTCTTCTTCATCATCATCTTCCTCAATGCGCCCAGCAAATATTGATCTGCCCCCCTCGGGGATAGTTAAAGGCATGCACAAAGGATCCAACAGGTCCAGCCTTATGGATACAGCTGATGGTAGGGAGTTCTTTTGGGCAGCTAAATAGAGAATATTAGTTAAACTGGGAAAATTCACATCGTGAATAGCAGCGCCTGAGTGGTTGAGCAGAACTCCACTGCCCACATGTCCCCTGGAGCACCCTCTTTTTCAACAGCCTGCCCTGTGGCAGCACTGTTACTTGTTCAGACAGTCTGCATTGTCAAAAGATACTCTGAATAAAAAACTGAGTATGGAAAAAAAAAAAAAGAATGCTATAAGTAAAAAAGAGGATTAGATGAAATCTGGAAGCAGGGTGTTAATAATAGCACCATATTTGTTCTGTGTTGTCATAAAACTTGTTATGTACATATTTGTACATTTCTGGCCCAGTTGAATTAGAGTAAGACTGAGCAAGAGCCAAATGTCATTAGAAATAAAAACTCCTAAGAGGATTGAGAAGCTGAGATAGCCCTAAAATCAATGAATTTTAACTTACTGTTTTTTCCCTTCTAGGTGTTCCTGTCAGTAGCAGAGTATCCACTAAAATCCAGCAGCTTCTCAACACTCTGAAACGACCCAAAAGACCTCCCTTAAAAGAATTTTTCGTGGATGACTCTGAAGAAATTGTGGAAGGTAGTAGTAATAATACTGAAGACATATATACCTTCAACAAACATATCTTAGGCAATTACTACATGTCAGGTACCGCAGGATTTAAAGGTGAACGAGGCAGCATTTTTGTTGAAAGAATTCGTAGTTCTCTGTTCTTCTTTCCCTAGGGATCATTTGTATTTCAGATCTCAGGTGCAAAATAAAGAGGGAGGAAGGGGAGAGAAAGGCAAAGAGATAACTGGAGCATAGAGCTATCCTTGTAAAATATGCCCTTTGAAATTAGGAACTTTCCCAAATAATAAAATTTTTTAAATTATTTACATTTTGCATTATCCTAGAATACACATGTCAAATTTGACCTCAAAAATTTGCCCAGTCAGAGACACTTGCAGATCTTATTGCCAGAGAGTTCTCCCTATTGTAACAGTCTTTCCCCCTCCTTCCAACCCTGCCTTAATCCTTTCAAATAAAGTCTCTCCTTACAGGGAAAAAAAAAAAAATTTGCCCAGTCTTTTTTGATACAACATAATCCTTTTGTTAAATCAGTCAGTCAACACATATGTCTGCTTTTTACAGGACAGTGTGGTAAATGGTGAAGAGTTCAAAGATTTATGAAAATAGAGCCACTCCTTCATATTGTTTACACATTAGATATACTAAAATATATACACGTGAAAGCATAGTTTAGCCAGTAAGTATGTATCGACTAATGCAACAGCTGGGAGAAGGGCAGAAATCAGTCCCATCTGTGTGGTTAGGGAGAGCTTCGTAGAGCAAGTGGTAATAGTGATTTCTTTATTTAATAATTTAACAGATATTTATGGATGAAATCATGTGATGTTTAGGATTTAATAGAAAGAATTGGGAGTTGAATGAGTAGGAGTATAGATGAAATGAAAGTGGCCGTTTGATAATTATTGAAGCTGGATGACGAACAGATCTACCTAACAAAAGGTTTTGTCAACAGAACTGAGCCTTGGTAGCTTTGTAGTTCATTTTTACATCCTGAGACTAATATAGTAGGCTTTGATCACTTTGGATGTGTTAATGGAACTAGGCATGTTAATAGACTAGATCTGGTCTTAGCCCACTTTATGCAGCCAGAAGCAACAGGCAACCTGATGTACGAGGTTAAGATGACTTTATGTTTCTTTAGGAGTCACTAAACTCACTGAACATGTATGGACATCTTCCTACATATCCTGATATTCAAGATGCTCATACCAGTAATAGCCTCCCCAGTATTTCTAGCACTGTGTATTAACCAGGCAAATGAAGGTCAAGTTTTAATAGAAATCATACTTGAACAATTTTCATTGGCAGAATAGCACTAACAGCTTTCCACTAATTATAAATAGGCGACAGTTGCTCATTTAAGTGATGATTATCTTTGGAAAAGTAAAGTATCCACATGTCTTTGGGGGCCTTTGAAAGAGTGTCCCCCAGGGTCTGCGTTGAGGCCTAGTGGGTGGCAGTAATGTACACACTTTTTTTTTTTTAAAGATTTTATTTATTTATTTATTTGAGACAGAATGAGAGACAGAGAGCACGAGAGGGAGGAGGGTCAGAGGGAGAAGCAGACTCCCCGCCGAGCAGGGAGCCCAATGCGGGACTCGATCCTGGGACTCCAGGATCATGACCTGAGCCGAAGGCAGTCGCTTAACCGACTGAGCCACCCAGGCGCCCAATGTACACACTTTTATGACCAGAAGACTATGCCTACCATATATACAGTCTGTCCATAAAAACAAAACTATTTAGAATCACATGTGTTTATTTTTTTAATGAATATGGTGGTTTAGAGTCTGGGAATATATGAAGCAGAAGGGCAGCTGAAACGTTACATACCTAGGGCAGTGAATTGGAAAGTGAAACTATTTCATTAGTTTTATGTTAGTAGAAAAAAGAATCAAGACATTTTAAGTAAATTTCCCAAGTCTGTCATTAAGTTGAGCTATAAAATAAAGTTATTTCATATTTCATTTGCCCATCTAATACTTGCTGCTTATTCTGTTTCTTTTCCTTTCTATGCCTCTTCTCTCATCTCCCACTCACCTGGCTAATTCCTACCCTTCCTCTAAGACTCAGCTCACATGGGGGACTCCGTCCTCTAAGCTAGGTGATATGGCCTTCTTCTTCCATCCCTGTAACGTTTCTGTCATGCATTGTTCATGTTTCTCTACTTAGTTCTGTGTATGTGTGTGTGTCCCCCTTGCACTCCAGATACCTTATGAGGGCGCAGACTCGGTGCTCCTTGCACCTAGCACTTATTAGAAACAATAAATGTTTGTTCAAAGAATGATATGTACAGCATTTATTTCCTCAGTGTTTATTACATCCTGTGCATATCATTGGCACTCAGTAAATGACTTTGTTCCATGTATAAATTATCTTTGCTGCTATGAAAATAGAATTTTTTTGCTTTTTTTTATTTGAATATTTGTTCATTGTAGAAAAATTAAGAGGACTTTTATTTATATGAAAAAATATGAAATACTATTCACCTCCAATTTCTGGAATGACCATGTTAATAATCTAGCACTTCTGTTCCCCCAAATTCAGTTCAATTTAATTAACATCAGTTGAGCTACCATTATGTATTAGGCACCATAGGCAATAAGAAGACAAAGAACCAGGCCTTCTTTCAAGAAGGTGTCAGGCTTAGGGGGAGAAAAGCTTACACAGTAATTCTTTGAGGATCCTCAGTGCTTTAATTAAGGGTAGACTACCATACAGTGGGGGAGCACTAAGGAAGGAATGACTGGGGACGGCTTCCCAGGGAATGTGCTGTTTGAGCTGCATCCTGACAAAGATGAGTACAAGTATACCAGGAGCAAAGGGGTTGGCCAGATGAGATGTGTACGAAGGTACGGAGACATGGAACACTGTCATCCATGCTCATTATCTGTTTGAGTCTAATAATGACCCTGTGATCCCGTCTCTGCCTTTTGACTAAGATCAAGTGTAATAATGACCCTGTCTAAGTGTTACTATCCCCATTTTACAGATGAGGAAAAATGAGGCTCAAGTAACTCAAGTTGATTAAGGTCACACTGGTAAAATGTTAACGTAAACTTGGGTTTTCTGACACACAGTTTAGTGCTTTTTCGTTAAATATAACCCAGTGAAGTGCAACCTGGCTCTCTAACATCAGACACTTCTGGATTAGAAGGATTTAAGGATTTAAAAACCAGTTGAGTCAAATTATAAAATTGCTAAAAAGGAATGTAGGCTCTGTGCTTTTCTGTACGTTCAGTGATTTGCTTTGTTAGAGTCAGGATTTGTTAATTACATAAAATATATCAAATATGATTTCATGATTATGTGGGAAGGTGAATTCAGGCCCATTTTGTGGATTACCATTTCTAGCGATATCATTTCTTTTTTCAGAGTGAGTTTAAACCAAATAAAGATGAAGAGAAAAGGGAAATATATTTGCGATTAGAGACCTAAGTTTTGTTAGTTGCTATTTGTATATATTTCAGATAATATTTTTATAACCCCTGGGGTTTTTTTTGGTACAGTACCTCAGCCAGACCCCAACCAGCCCAAGCCTGAAGGACGGCAGATGACCCCTGTAAAGGGGGAGCCATTAGGAGTCATCTGTAACTGGCCTCCTGCTCTTGAGTCGGCCCTGCAGCGCTGGGGCACCACGCAAGCAAAATGCCCCTGTCTGACCGCCCTGGACGTGACGGGGAAACCAGTTTACACGCTCACATACGGTCAGTTTGCAAGAGTCCCAGCTCCTTCCTTTTCTCCTGATAGTTCTTCATATTATCATGGGTGGTGTTTTCATCTTGATATTTAGCAGTTGCTGGTCATTGTGTTTCAACAGATATTTTAAATTATTTTAATAGGATCCTGAGTTCTAAGTAAAGCTATTGTCAAATATTTTCATTTGCTAAATGATATTTGCAAAGCAGCTAATATTTAAAAGAGCAGAAAGAAGAAAGGCTTTCTGGATCCACTGATGATTTAATATTAGAAGGAGATTTGGAGAAGATGTTTGGGCAGGATATATGGCAGGATAGTTTTTGTTTTTGTTTTTAAAGAAATGCTTTTTTTTTTTAAGATTTTATTTATCTATTTGAGAGAGAGCCAGAGATAGCGCGAGAGAGCACAAGCTGGGAGGAGAGGGAGAAGCAGGCCCGACAACGCGGGGCTTGATCCCAGGACCCTGGGATCATGACCTGAGCTGAAGGCAGACGCTTAACTGACTGAGCCACCCAGTTGCCCCCAAAAATCTGATAGTTTTATCTAAAAATTGAAACCAATTACTTTTTAGATCTTTGCCATTTCATTCTACCTCTCGCTAGAACAGGCACAAAATTTTATAATGAACAAAGAATTAGGGATGCCTGGGTGGCTCAGTCATTTAAGCATCTGCCTTCAGCTCAGGTTGGGATCCCGGGGTCCTAGAATTGAGTCCTGCATCCAGCTCCTTGCTTGGCGGGGAACCTGCTTCTCCCTCTGCCTGCCGCTCCCCCTGCTTGTGCTCGCTCTCTCTCTAATAAATAAATAAATAAATAATCTTAAAAAAACAAAAAACCCCCAAAGAATTGGTACTTTTCCATTTAGTTTTGCACCCCAGCTAAAGTTTGATTTTTCCTTTTTAAATAGCTTTTCAAAGTAACTTAATTTTCTTTTAAAAATTCCTCTAAAATAATTTTATTTTTCAATTTTTAGATTTTTTTAAAAGATTTTATTTATTTGAGAGAGAGAGCTCAAGCGGGGGTGGGGGCGGCAGGGGTAGAGGCACAGGGAGAGGAGAAGCAGACTCCCCGCTGAGCAGGGAGCCCAGGACTCTGAGACCATGACCTGAGCCAAAGATAGACACTTAACCAACTGAACCACCCAGGTGCCCCTATTTTTCAATTATCAACAAGAAGAAGAGTGGATTCAACCTGGGCTGTGAGATTTTGTACTAGTTTATTCAAACATCAGGTTCCTTTTTCCCTTCAGAAGTGAAGCTCAGGGACGCCTGGGTGGCTCAGTCGGTTAAGTGTCTGCCTTCGGCTCAGGTCATGATCCCATCGAGTTCCACATCGGGATCCTTGCTCAGGAGAAAGCCTGCTTCTCCTTCTGCCTGCCGCTCCCCCTGCTTGTGCTCTCTCTCATGCATTCTCTCTCTCTCTGGCAAATAAAATCTTAAAAAAAAGAAGTGAAGCACATGTCCATAAACCTAGATACTGAGTAATTTTTGGAAGAAAGTAGTTTTTATTTAAAGAATCTGACAGACGTGAGTTTAAACCCTAGCTGCCCCTCTGAATGAGTTATATGTAAAACTAACATACCTATTCAGAATGACATGATTTCTTTTTCACTTTCTGCATAATCTAAGATAAGAATTTCTAAGGGTGTTTGGAGGGAGGGGGAAGAAAGAGGGGAAGATCAACTTTTTTTTCCCCCAAAAAGTGGTTTTTAGCATTCATTTCAGAAGCTATATGTTAATTTCATCCATGTAACCCTTAAAGCAGTTAGCTGACTAAATCTTTACATGTTTATATAACACCTATGAATATATCCACATGTTTCACCTAATTTCCATATTGTCTGTTTTCACTGAAATACAGTGCCATGGAATGCTTAATCATTTGAGTCATACTTCTGCTTTGCAGTTAACCTCAAGTATCTAATACCATATATGTAAGTAGTTCTTCAGAAGAAGCTTAGAGCAGAAGTAGTCTTCTGATTTTCAGCCCTGTTATAAAAATTGTTGTCCTCCCTTTAAATGTGATCAGCTAACATCAAATTATTTCTAAAGATATCAGATTACTTCACAAAAGAATTTGAAATACTATCTGTTACCAGAATGAGCATCTGATAAAGCTTTCTTTTTGTTTGGAAACAGGACTGGCTTCTGTAAACTCAAGTGAATATAAAGCATTTTTTGTGGGGGAGGAGCTTTGCGTGTTGGGGGTGATGCTTGTCTAATGAGACATTTGGAAGGGCCACTGTCTTACTAAATGTGCTAATGAACTGAATGCCCCCTCGCTGAGGTAGGCCTGTGTTTTTCTATATGATTCTTTTCTTTTTCCAGGAAAGTTGTGGAGCAGAAGTTTAAAGTTGGCCTACACACTGCTTAATAAACTGGGGACCAAAAATGAACCTGTATTAAAACCTGGAGACAGGGTAATTGGTTTTTTGGTTCTAGGGAGGTGATGTTTCATTGTTTTCTAATATGCACATTCTGAATTTTTAATGCACAACAGTACAATTTATGTAACTTTTACTCTTAGAAAATGAAAATGGTTTGCTCAATGCCAGGTTATAGTTCTTGTATTCATAGATTGAAGGAAATTCACATGTCCCTTTCAGTACCTACTACTCAGTAAATTCTTGTGCTAATACAAAGAAAGAGGGAGCTCACTCTTTCTGGAAATAAATATTTCATTAATCAGACAACAAAAATAGCAATACAGTTTACTCTGATTTTTTTTCATTACAAATTACCCATAAAAATTTTTCAAAACATTTTCTGTGGTTTTATGTAGAAAGGGCGAGCCATATTCTAAGAAGAAACAAAATGACATCATTTAATTTCTTCTTTAATTGAAGGTGACATTAAACAAAATTTTTTTCTAACTTTTTGGAGAGTTTTTTCCTATCAATGACTTTCTAAATATGATGACTTCTTATCGTCAAATGTTACTTTTTATTTGGTATTTGTAGAATGAAGCATCAACTACACAACAGACTTCTTTTTAGTAGGCTCATGATATAGAACCTCCTGAACTAGCCTTTTAAAAATACTTTTGCACTGTGGCAAAGGGCACCTAGAGGGTGACTTCCACTTACAACTGTGACACATAAGGGTTTCCTGGTCCTCACTGAACCCTAAGAAGGTAATTTTTGTGTCTTCCTAGCACCATAGACACTTGTGTGCAGGAAGGAAATGGGTTGTCTTAAATATTTTGTGGAATTAACATTTTTTAGAACTCTAGAAAGGATTAGCAACTTGGGGATTGAATTTATCTTGGGAGTGAGTTGAGAGAATTTGAAAGTAAAAGAAGGGGGACCAAGAGTCTGGTGACATAATTAAGTTTAACATGTCAATCTATAAACATCTAAGCCAAGTAACAAGCTCCACAATGATAATGGTTTTACATTCCTTCAGTAAATTAGGAAGGGTCAGTTATCCCTATGATGCATTACAGGTGAGATCACGGTTTTGAACAGTTTGAACATAGGTTTCAATGTTTATCTTTTGTAGATGAATTAACTTTTTATCCATAATGGCTTGTGCCAGTATTAACTTACACCATTAGCAAAGCCTTCATGCTAGAGGACTTGCATTGTTGGCTAAGTGAGTGAGGACTAATGCAATGAACTCATTAAAGAATAAGAAACCTTGAGTTGGCCCTGTAATGGCAATCGAGTCAGTCAACTCCTGTGAGTTCTCTGAGAGTTGTAAGGCTTATTCTCTAATATGCTGGCTTATCTAGAGAGACCCATTACATTTATTGTATTGCTTTAGTCCTGCACTAAAGTAAATTGCCTTAGGTTTCACAAGTAATTAACTTACTACTTAAGGTGAGTTGTTAACTGCTCAATCACCAGTAGAATTCAGTGAAAAATTTTTCTTATGATGATGATGATGATGAATTGCATTATAGTTTCCAAAACATGTCTAGTATAATCACGGGAATGATAGAAATCTTTTTTAGACTTGTGCATCTTTCTCAATAACTTAATTTTCTTTAGGCTATTAGTTTTATTGTGTTCATGAGACATGTTATATATAAATGTTTATCTTCGACAATGACATTGAAAGTATTAGTCTGGTTTTATTCCTCTGTTATTGAATGTCATTATGCATTTTAGGTAGCCCTGGTTTACCCCAACAATGATCCAGTCATGTTCATGGTGGCTTTTTATGGATGTCTCCTGGCAGAAGTGATTCCAGTGCCTATAGAGGTACCTCTTACCAGAAAGGTAACATTGCTAAATTTAAGAGGAATGTAGCCTGATGTGACATGGTGGGCTTCTTGGATCTTGGATCGATTGACTCCATCATGACATTAGAAACCGCCTAACCGTTTTCTTAAGTATTCAGCTTCACTTTCTAAAAACATGAGAGTTGTAGACAAATAATAGTTATTATTGTTTATAAATTTCAGGAAAATAATATTGTTTCAACTAAGTTAGAATTTTTATAGATAAAATTTAAAGCTCATGGGGGCATACCTTACTTTTCAACAATTACCATTTATAAAGAGGATCCCTATTACTTCCTTGAGACTATAGATAATCCACATTTATAATAAGTGAGACCTTTTTGTGAAGGGATTTCCTTTAATTGTATCATACAACCCAGGATTTCCTTTAAGTTGAAGGATGATACAGTGATGCATATTACTACTCTGGGGAATAAGATTTTACTTTAATGACACATCAGCCCATGCAGCATATGTAGCAAATTTTTTTTAAGTTTAACCGAAAGATTTCTCCGTGAGCTGTTTGACCCTGATTTTCTCCTACAGTTTATTGAGGGGTCATGATAAAGACAAATATGATAGAGAGTGTGGATTTATAAGAACAGTTATTTTGTGAAAGGAGTAAAAAACAAATTGGTGACATCCCTGAAACTGGTTGATGGGATATAGCGTCTTTAGATTAGTCAGGAAATCATAGGGTTGTTCTTAAATTATTAAGTTGGCTGTGTTTGTGTGGTTTCGTAATAATACTTTCAAGGTGATATTTTAATGGAACTACCTTAGACTATCTCTTCGGTTTTTTTCTCTGCTATTGTCATAAAGCTTAAATCTTACCTCCTTTAAAATAGAATAATAAGGAGTATGTGGATTTAGGTATAACCATCCATTCACTTTCATTGTAAATTTGGACATTTGGTGTCCATTTACATTATTTTATTCTGACCTGGGTTGCTTTGCTTTTGAATTTGGGGATGTGGCTAGGTCAAGACAACTTAACCAGGTTCACGTCACATCTATTTCACTGGCCTGAAATTAATTTAAAAGAGGAACATTGCTGACTTTTGAATAAAATGGTCACATTGACTGGTAGAATTCACCATTAGCAATGTCAGATTAATAAAATATTTGATTTGTACTCAGGAAGTCATTGTATTGTAGAAGTTATTTGGAAGAACATATTGTCATTGGAGTTTGACAATTGCCAGGTGTCAGTGGGGTCCCGTGAATGTTATCACACAAGTGCCAGAGCATTGCTCAGTGTTAGGTTTGGGGCACGGGTGTGCTCACGTTCACTCCCCACCGTGCTCATTATCTTCTCTCCACAGGATGCTGGAGGGCAGCAGATTGGCTTCTTGCTAGGAAGCTGTGGTATTGCCTTAGCTCTTACCAGTGAAGTTTGTCTAAAGGGGCTGCCAAAAACCCAGAATGGAGAAATTGTACAGTTTAAAGGTTAGTAATATTTATACTTGAATTATCAATTAAAAGTTAAAACTTGTACTTTAATAAGCATTTTAATTTAATAATAGCTAAGTACTTAACATCTATTTTCTTATTTAATTCTCACATTCTTATGAAGTAGGTACCATTATTATCCCCATTTTACAGGTGAGGAAACTGAGACACAGAGAGGTTAAGTAACTTGCCCAAAGTCACAGCTAATAAATGGCAGAGCAGCGATTTGAACCCAAATCTGTCTGATTCCACAGCCCACACCCTTAACCTTTATGCTGATGGTTGGAAAAGCTACCACTCTGTTCACTAAAGCTAAATGCTACATGTAGAGACAGGATAGACCACTAACCTCAGTGGACTTCCACTGCCAAATGGACCTCCCAGTTGTTGAGGTAATGTCAAGGCCTGAAATTAGCATGTGGAACGATTGTACTTTTGAAAGAAGGTATAATTGTCTGGTGATTTATCACTAAAAACTAATAAAAAATGCAGTCTTTTACTGATTTTACAATGACCTTGATTTGGTCTCGATACTAGAATGACCAATTCAATGTGAACTCCTTCCCTTATGGCTTAGGCAATTCAATTTTTATTTTGGGTTTGATTTAGGTTGGCCCCGGCTCAAATGGGTTGTAACAGATTCCAAGTACCTTTCAAAGCCACCTAAAGACTGGCAGCCCCACATCTCACCTGCTGGTACAGAACCAGCGTACATTGAGGTAAGTCCTGAGACTAGAACATACATTCTGGCTTCGTGTGGCTTCAGTTGCCATCTTATAAAATTTAAAACTAACCTTTTGCAGTTTTAATTTTAGAAAAGCCTCCTAGTTTGTTGGAGTTCCATCTTTTGGCTTGTAAAATGCTTGTATTAGACCTTCTAATTGTTTTTAACGTAAATACACATTCAAGAGAGACAGCCCCCACAAAAAAAAAAAAAATTGATCCTCGTCATGGAAGAAAGTTACACAAGACCTAGAGATGTACAAAGGTTTAAGAAATGATATAATGACAGAGATATTCCTCTGCCGCTTTTGGGGAGGTATGGGAGTGGGAAGCAAAAGAATGGAGAAACAAGGAAGGAAAAGAGCTGTGCTTGAGAAGAACAAACTTAACAGATGAAAGATAAAGAGCAAGAAGAAACACATGGCTAAAGGGTTTGGTATTGAAGGTCAGTGTAGGACCTTGAGTGATCGAAACATTCAGTTTGAGGGATGAAGTCCTCCTGCATAGCAGGCACCAGGCTAAGAGCAGCTTCAAATGCGTGATCTTAGGCAGTCCCCACAAGTACCCGATGAGGTTGGGCCTCTTATCAAACCTGCTTTATAGGTGAGGAGACTAAGGCTTAAATGAACTCAAGTTCACATGACTCAAAAATGACAGAGCTGGGATTTACACTCCCATCTGTTTCACTTTAAAAGCTGTGCCCTTGATGACTCTGCATTGTGCTCGAGACATATTAGTAAATGCTCACCACCTGTTTGCTAAATTAATGACAAATCAATACATTAAAAAAGAAAAGTTTCAGGAAAAAAAATCCACCCAGCCTTGAGCCTTGTGGTAATAACTGGCTATAATAGGGAAGAGAGTGGGCAGTAGCTTTGAGCAGTGATATGTTCATGTTGGATGCTTTGAAAGATGAAAGAGAGCTGAGTATGTTTGACAGACAAGTGGGGCACCTGGATGGCTCAGTCAGTTAAATGCCTGCCTTCAGCTCAGGTCATGATCTCAGCGTCCTGGGATCGAGCCCTGCATCGGGCTCCCTGCTCCACGTGGAGTCTGCCTCTCCCTTTCCCTCTATTGTTCCCCCTGCTTGTGCTTTCTCGCTCTCTCTGTCAAATAAATAAATAAAATCTTTTAAAAATAAATTAATTAAAATAAATGAAAGACAAGTAAACAGGCAATTAAAATTTAGCAGTCAATTCTTAATCCATATCATTTCTCAGTGAGGACATATTTCATCACTCCAGCCTCCTTAACCCTGCTCACTGGCTTCCCTGAGTACTCTGTCAGTTCTCCTGCCTCAGTGAACACTCCTTTTTAGGCTTCTTTATTGGTTCTTCATAAAAAGTGAAGGGCACTTCATTTGTGGCCCCTGCTTGGCTCTCTGACCTCATGTAGAACTACTACCCTCCACATTTCTAGGCTTTGGCTATTCTGAACTAACTTGCAGTTTTTACTTAGGAACCTCTTATTACCCACAGGACATTTCTAGTGAGTTTAAAGTACCCTAGGAGTCATAGGGAGCTATTAAAGGGTTGTCAGAAGAGTTTGATAAGAATAAATATGTTGTTAAAAGATGTATCTGGTTTGGTTGGGTTAAGAAGGTAAACAGGGAGTCCAGCTTTTATAGTTATCTAGATAAGCCCAAGCTCATGGTAATGGGGATAGAGAAAAGTAGGTGGAATTGAGAGACAGTAAGGAAGTAGAAGAGGCAGGATTTAGGGCCTGACTCTGGAGAGGGAGGAAGCAAGAAAGACTCTCAGGTTTCTGACTTGAGCAACGGGGTAGATGATGCCATCCTTTATTAAGAAAATACAGCAAGGAGGCGCCTGGGTGGCTCAGCCGTTAAGTGTCTGCCTTCGGCTCAGGTCATGATCACGGGGTCCTGGGATCAAGCCCTGCATCGGGCTCCCTGCTTGGTGGGAAGCTTGCTTCCCCCTCTCCCAGCCCCCTGCTTCTGTTCCCTCTCTCGCTATCTCTCTCTGTCAAATAAATAAATAATTTGGGGGGAAAAAAAAGAAAATATAATAAGAGTTCATGGGCACGGGGTGGGGATGAGGAATACCATGGTGGATGCATTGATTTTCACAGGACTACAGGTCATTAAGGGGGAACAATTGACTCTATAAGTCTGGATATCTGGAAGGAGGGCTGGGTTGGAGACCGAGAATTGGGAGCCATCAGGCGAGTGGTACCCCGATGGAATGAAGTGAAAAGAGAAAGCAGAACAGAACTTTCAGGAAATGCCAACATTTAAGGGATGGGCAAAGGAAATGGAAGGGGGAGAGAGGGGGAGAGATTATGAATAGGAGAGAAGAATATCACAAAAGCCAAGGAAGGAGACAGTGTCAAGGAAGGAGGTGTCAGATGTTATAGAAATGCAGGATAAAATCAAGTATGTCGTATATCCTTTTGATTTAACAAACAGAAGTTGCTGATCTGGGTGAAAAACAGCTTGGGTGGAGCATTGAGGTAAAAAGCAAAATGAGAGTTGATTGATTTGTAGGAGTGAATAGGCCATTTCTAGGTCTCCCCTTCCCGATGTAGGAGCTTCTGACAGACAGGAACCACGTCTTACCCACCTTTAAGTCTGCAGTGCCCTGCTTGCTGTGTACTTGATACGATGCTTCTATTAATGCAGCTCCACTCACTTGTTTGGCTTCTTTAGCAGCCACTTCACACTGATGACTAATTAAACTTTTAAGAATTTTTCACACATACTTTTGTCAAGCTTCATCATTCCTCAATCCTATCTTTGCATGATTAGAGTTTGGGGCCCCCCAGTGCATAGCGTCAAATAGTCATATGAAACATATTAAAATCAGCCCATTACCATGGCTTGTCTGGGTTTCATTTTTGAATTCTACTTTGTCATTTGAAATAACCCATTTTATTGTGTTTTCTTATGCTTTTGTTTTTTGTGATTTTTTTTTTCTAGTATAAAACAAGCAAAGAAGGGAGTGTAATGGGAGTTACAGTGTCCCGCCTTGCAATGTTGTCTCATGGCCAAGCTCTGTCCCAGGCCTGCAATTATTCTGAAGGTCAGACTCCATCCCGTGACTGCCCTCATTGTGAGCCTCAGATATATGTGACCGTGAGCAGAGTGCTCAACGACTGGATTCCAGTTAATGACCAAATTCAGAGTGAAATGCTCTAAGACACATTCTTGGCTTGCTTTTGCTTTCTTCTTTTTCACAAATATGCTATAATTTAAAGGAACTAAAATTCTGGGCAAACCAAATATGTAAAGCATGACTTCTAGAGTGTAGAAATAGAAAACAAATTAAAACCATGTGTTTATTAGCTGCAAAATGTTATATATCTCTGTCTTCCTGTGTATACAGAGCTGACACCAGCTGTACATTTGGAGTTAGAGTCAAAGAAATCCAGCTACCAAAAAGCATAAATTAAAACACAAAAATGTATTCTGTATTGTTGAACTTTAGATATGTTGATACAGTGTAATGACTTTGCCTTAGAATGTTCTTTACAATATTAAATTTTTTATTTTCCTTTCATAAAATGAAACAAGTTAATACATGTTCATTAAAGAGCAGCATTCTTGTCTGGTAAAATGTATTTATATATAATGGAGACAATCAAAATGCCAGAAAAGAGGGATTGATTAAATTATAATATGCTCAAGTAATGGATTATACCCTGAGGCATTAAGACTCCTGTTCTTGAATATTAAAGATATAGGGAAATTGTTTCAATATATCATTAAGTGGCAACAATTTAGATACAGAGTGGTATGCCAGTTTTATTATGGTAGATATCTGTATGCCAATTTTGTTATGGTGGGCATCTGTCTAGATATAAGTATGCTTGTGTGTGCGTGTGTGTATGTAATATATAGATATATATATATACACCAACTTTTTAATTTTCTCTAGGAAGTACAATTTTTTACATGTGTTTGTGAAACTTGCAAAGTTTCTAAAATAAGCATGTGTTCCTTATATAATTAGGAAAAAAATATCTCTTGGAAGACAGTGCCTATGTCGTAAGGAATTTCAAACTCATTATCTCTTCTCTGACCTATGATCAGTCCCCTAGCCAGTTTGAGGGGATCCTCAAGTAATCAAAAGACCCTGAGAGCTTTTAGTGATTTCTTCCAAAGTATCAAACCAGTTGTTTAATAGAGACAAGTGAGACAATTTTACTGCTTAACACTAAAGATGATTTCCTTTTGTTTTTTCCTTTTTTTTTAATCCTAGGGGAGACAGTAGTAAATGTTTTAGACTTTAAGAAGGATGCCGGGCTGTGGCATGGCATGTTTGCGGTAAGCTCCTCAGAATTATGGCCTTTAGTGTAAATTGTGCTTATAATTCAGATCAGTATGTGTGTTGTGTAACCAGATCATCTCCCTGTGCTTGTTTGAAATTTAAGCCCCCTAAAGATCAAAAATATTTTCTAGAATAATTTTGTAATACAAATGGTAATGTTTTTTAAGGAGACTGTAATTCTGTTTTTTCTTCAGTGTGTGGTTGGGCATACCTTTCACATAACAGTTTGTGGGAGAACTTAGGATCAAAATTTTTTTAAAACATCGGCCATCATAGTACCACTTTTCTACAAATGACTGTATATTTATTTATGATTAACAATAGTATGTTTGAGATTTACCTCTTCTCTTTTCTGAAGAAAGGATTACATAAATGTATTTAGAACTTGGCAACTGTGCTTAATGACATCTAACCTTTCCATTGGGCAAAATATATTGAATGACTCCATGCGACAGTTAAAGAATAGAGTAACAAGGTAGATCAGGCTACTTCTGTAATAGAGGAACAGGTAACATACTATGGGAGTTAGGCCAAGGGTAGTTCCTCCCAGCTCTGATATTAGGCCATTTTTCTAGAAGAGCACAGTTGAGTTGGACTTTGAGAAATGGGTAAGATTTAGCCATTATAGAGGTATTTTGGGGGTGGAGATAAAGAGAGGGGACATTTAAATGGGAAAAGCTACCATATATAGCATGCTGAGAGATAAAGGATCTGAGAGTTGCAAAGGACCTTCGAGAGAACATCTCATCCAACTTCTCTGCGCACTGCAGGAATCTGAGAATGAGTAGACAGTGAAGCCTGGGGGAAGAGGAGGAGGATCCCTTTTCACCCAGGACACCTCAGAGTAGTAAGAGCCTACTCCTTGAGTGTACATACTTTCCAGCTTCTTTCCGAAGGCCTTCCCATTTTGTTTTTTTAATCAGAGGTTAAAACACCCTTTTGAGGAGTTAGAGGGAGTTTTCTCCCTGTGATACAAAGAGCAAGATAGGGACATGTATAAAGACTTGGTAGTAACACCATTTTGTCCTGGAAATTCAAAACTTTGTCAACATAGCTAGAAACTTGGAGGGAGGTAAAAGGGGGTTTACAGTGGTATCTTGTTTTTGAGGGGCCACTTAGGTGGTAAATAAAATGACCAGCCTAAATACCAAGACTTAGTTATTCTGTGGGCTGGATCTCTTTGGGGACACGGAGTCTGGGTATGTTTGATTTGGGGGACAGGAGAGACACCAAATTGCATGACCCCCTCAGCTCACTCAGCTTTATCTACCCCAACACATAATAAGTCTGAGCAGGACCTCCTCCAAGAATCAGGGAAACTCTGATTTCTTGCTTTGTAATACCCACCTCTTTGTGGTATGTGGTGAGCATGCGCATGATGAAAGCACCGAGTGGATTAGAGGGTGGTTTGGCAGTATCTGGTGAATTTTAAAAGCATATATTCTATGACCCAGCAGTACTACTTTTCTGTGTGTACTGTAGACAAACACTTGTACATGTGCGCAGGGAAGTAAGTATAAACCTGTCCCTTGAAACATTGTTTATAATAGCAAAAAAGTTGTCAATAATAGGGAAATGACCTAAATAAATTGTGAAATAGTCATACTATGGAAGAGTATGCAGCAGTTCAAAAAGAATTCTGTAGATCTCTTAGGCTGATGTGCATAGACTTAGCCATAAAACAATTTAAATGAAAAAAGCAAGCTGCCAATATATGTATGGTATGATGCCTTTTATGTTAAAGATACTTTTATCTGGGACTCCTGGGTGGCTCAGTCGGTTGAGCGTCTGCCTTCGGCTCAGGTCATGATCCCAGGGTCCTGGGATCGAGCCCCACATCGGGCTCCCTGCTTGGCGGGGAGCCTGCTTCTCCCTCTCCCACTCCTCCTGCTTGTGTTCCTGCTCTCACTGTCTCTCTCTCTGTCAAATAAATAAATAAAATCTTAAAAAAAAATACTTTTATCTTTCTGTGGGGACAAATATATTTGTAAATATATAGAAAAAGGACTAGGAGGATAAACGCCAGATTCATAATCAATTGACTCTGAGGAGGAGAGGAGGGAACCAAGTTTGAGGGTAGGTAGTAGCAAAGGAGACTTTAACCTTAGAGTCAATATTTCAGATTTTTTTCAAAGAGCATGTATTACTTGTATGATTAAAATAATAAAATATCAGTTCAGTTGTAAAATGCTTAGTATGTATTGGGTATTGATTATTTTTTATCTTTCTTTGCTTTTCAGAATGTAATGAATAAGATGCATACAATTAGCGTACCCTACTCTGTTATGAAGACTTGCCCTCTCTCTTGGGTCCAAAGAGTACATGCCCACAAAGGTAATCATACATAGCATCTAAGCTTTATGTGACTGTTTGAACTAAGATTTCAGGGATTTTCAAATTGCTCTTCTAGAGCCATAATTCTATGCCTTGGTGGCTTGACAGGTTTTAGAATTCAGTCACTCTAAAATCAGGTATGTTGTCTCAACGTCTTAAGAGTTGAGATTAATTTGCTTGAATCTGAGCCCCGAATTAGATTTATTGGGTGCTTCAGTGTTCAAAGCTTCCTTAGCTGAGCTGTGTGGCCTGCCTGCGGGTCACAATAAGCACAATAATTGTGTTTCCTGTCAGTCGATAGTGCTTTAGCACACCTGGCACAATTTCTTTGAAGTCTTTTTTATTTTCTCTAAGTGAGAATCATGATCCCTAAAATAAGTAAAAATGTTTTTATGATAGTATATTAAATACATACCAATTTTAGTATGTATGTGTGTGTTAACTTTATCCCTTTTGAATTTATAGCCAAGGTAGCTTTAGTAAAATGTCGAGACTTGCATTGGGCTATGATGGCGCATCGGGACCAAAGAGATGTGAGCTTGAGTTCCCTCCGAATGTTAATTGTAACTGATGGAGCTAATCCCTGTGAGTATTTCTAGAGTGTGGGCCTGGGAATATTCTTTCCTTTGGTAGGTTGAGGTTTTTGCCTCCTTTCTATAAGCTTTTTTTTTTTAACATCTGCATTGAAATGTAATTCACATACCGTAAAACTCATCCATTTAAAGTGTACAGTTCAGTGGTTTCAGAATATGCATAGTCAACTGTCACCATGAACTAAGTTCCTATATCCATTAGTGTTCACTCCCCATTTCTCCCTCTCTGTCCCCTAGCCCTAGGCAACTGCTCATCTGCTTTCTGTCTCTACAGATTTACCTACTATGGACATTTCGTATAAATGTAATCCTACTACATGTGGTCTTTTGTGATTGGGTTCTTTCACGTAGCATGTTTTCAAGATTCATCCCTGTTGTAGCGTGTGTTCATGCTTTGTTCCTTTTCATTGCCCTGTAATATTCCACTGAATAGATACGCCACATTTTCTATAAGTTTTCAAAAACACCCCTTCTTGGGGCACCTGGGTGACTCAGTTGGTTGGGTGTCTGCCTTTGGCTTAGGTCATGATCCAAGGGTCCTAGGATTGAGTCCTGCATCGGGCTCCCTGCTCCATGGGGAGTCTGCTTCTTCCTCTCCTTCTGCCTGCCACTCCCCTCTGCTTGTGCTCTCTCTCTCTGTCAAGTAAATAAACAAAATCTTTAAAAACAAAACAACAACAAAAAAACACCCCTTCTTGCTCACTCATTTATATCCTTTTTCTATCATGTGACTACAAGGAGTGGTAAGCTGGTGACTTGCTATAACCAGGTGTTAGGACTTTATGTAAATTCCCCCTATGAACAAATCAGAGACTTTGGGAAAGCTTTTAGAGATCTTACCATATTACCTGCTTTTCCTTACAAGCACAAACACTTTGAGTAGAATCAGGTAAAGCATTAGAAACTGTGCTCTTTGCCATAAATGGATTTCTTTCTTTTTTTTTTTTTTTTAAAGATTTTATTTATTTATTTGAGGGAGAGAATGAGAGACAGAGAGCATGAGAGGGAAGAGGGTCAGAGGGAGAAGCAGACCCCCCCGCTGAGCAGGGAGCCCAATGTGGGACTCGATCCCGGGACTCCAGATCATGACCTGAGCCGAAGGCAGTCGCTTAACCAACTGAGCCACCCAGGCGCCCCATAAATGGATTTCTGTCAGTAGTCACAATGGTATAGTAGTCATCCTGGTATAAACACAGGTGTGGGGTTGACATTAATAAGAAACAAATTGGAGAATATCACATAGAAGAGAATATCAGCACTATACTAGCTAAACAAGTTACTTCAGGAAGAGTTGCTCGCTTCCAGACTGGCTGCCTATTGGCTACAGTGCATCTCTGCTATTGATTGGGCAGTTTGGTAGGAGCAGCCCTATGCCAAATTGTGACTTTGAATAGTGTCATTGACCTATTTTATGGGCCGGGTGAGCATTTATTTGTCCTTGAAACGTATCCACCATCTCACAGGTACAATAAAATATCTATATGGAAGTAATGATGTACAGTGAGAGTTCTCATGAGAAGCAAATGGGTCAGTTCTCCACTCTTTACCAATTTTCCGCAGTAATGAAAATCACAATTTCAGCTTTCAAGTTGATCTGTTCCAACTCCTTAGGGTCTGTGTCGTCCTGTGATGCCTTCCTGAGTCTATTCCAAAGCCATGGACTGAAACCTGAGGCCATCTGTCCATGTGCTACTTCTGCTGAAGCCATGACTGTTGCAATCCGCAGGTATCGTCCAGAATGTCAGTGCCCTTGACGTATGTTACAACTCTGATCAAATGTGCAATATTTACCAGGCAATGACAAGGGGTGCTAACTAATTTTCTGCTTCATCAGCCTAAAAGTGAAAATGACTTTGTAAAGCAGTTTGAAGCATCTCGTTTATTTTTCCCCACTCTTGCCCTAAGGGTAACTGGTAAACTGAAAATTTACGTTAATTATTCTCATCTCGTATTTGTGAATGAGTTCTTTTTCTGTGCTGTTTTGCTCTTCAGACTCCTTCGTTAGCATCTTAAACTACAAATAGGCTATTCTTGATTACAGCTTAAGTATGGAAAGTACACCCAAGCCAATATATTCTTAATATTGGATTTAAAATTTACTTTTTCCGCCCGAATGAATGTGAACCATGCTTTGTACGTGTGAAGTTGATTAATTTGGCATGTTTTGGGTAGAGAAAAGGAGGATTTTTTGGTGTGTGGTAGCCAGAGGAAATTTGCTTTCTTACATATTTGTACTTTTATCTTGATATCATGTAATTTGCCAAATTTGATGAGTTTATTTTGTTTTCAGGCCTGGAGTTCCAGGGGCCCCTTTGCCAGGAAGAGCTATTCTCTCAATGAATGGATTGAGCTATGGGGTAATACGGGTCAATACTGAAGATAAAAATTCAGCACTGACGGTCCAGGATGTGGGCCACGTAATGCCTGGTGGTGAGTTCTCTCCGCAGCACCTTTTGGTTTTTCATAAAGATTTGTCATTAGGGATAGTAGAGCCTGATAAAATATGAGACCCACACCCAGGAATACAAAATTTAATACTTAGTCACTTAAGTTCTCAAAACCTCTCTAACAGTTTGGTGATTCTAATTATACTTACTTTCCAGCAGTATTGTATGATTTAATTGAATGATTTGATTACAGTTTTTCGTATGGAAAGCTTAAGTACTGAGTTACACTAAAGTTGTCTGGTTTTCGCTGTAATTGCCAAGACATTGGGGCTGGCAGAAAGTTAGAGCACACTGCTTCCATGAGTGAGTTTGATCTGCCCAGGGGTAAATTAATTTAACCTGTTTCTTTGGACTTTGTAGTCATTTTTTTTTTTTTAAAGATTTTATTTATTTTTTAGAGAGCGAGCGAGAGAGAAACAGCATGAGAGGGGAGAGGGTCAGAGGGAGAAGCAGGCTCTGCGCTGAGCCGGGAGCCCGATGTAGGACTCAATCCCAGGACCCTGGGATCATGACCTGAGCCGAAGGCAGACGCTTAACCATCTGAGCCACCCAGGCGCCGTTTGTAGTCATTTTTAACATGTTACTGTCTTTGGGAGCACGTGAGTGGCTCAGTCGATAAGCATCTGACTCTTGATTTCGGCTCAGGTCATGATCTCGGGGTCATGAGATCGAGCCCCTGTTGGGCTCCATGCTATGTGCAGAGTGTGCTTGAGATTCTCTCCCTCTCCCTCTGCCCCTTCTCCTGCAGACACGCACTCTCTCTCTCTTTAAATAAATAAATAAAATCTTCAAAAAAAATGTTACTCTCTTTGAAAGCTTCGGTCTGCATCTGTTGTAGTTTTATTTGCTGAATTTTAAAGATTTAAAGATTATCAGAGCTTAAAAAATGGAAATTTCAGATACACCTATGTAGTTTCAGGTCTATTTTTGACATTCCTGTTTGGTATTCTTACTTAACGCCGCTCAGTAAATGCACAACTTTCCTGGGTTCACGGGGATGAAGCTGTTATTTTACAAAGTTTCCAGAATCTCTGTCCCTTAACTGTATTTTCTGCACACTAGGGATGATGTGCATTGTGAGACCTGATGGACCTCCCCAACTCTGCAAAACAGATGAAATTGGAGAAATCTGTGTCAGCTCTAGAACAGGAGGCATGATGTACTTTGGGCTTGCTGGTGTGACAAAAAATACATTTGAGGTACATAATATGAAAGTCTGGCGGGGGGATCTTACTTGGTGAGGTCAGGGTGTCACAAAGTCAGATGAGCTGGTCTATGGGAAATAGCATAATGGAGCAGCTAAGAGAGTATACTCTGGAGCTAGGCTGCTTGAGTTCAGATCCTAACTCCGCCACTTACTAGCTGACCTTGGGGGAGTTCCTGTGCCTCAATTTCCTTATCTTTATTTATTGTTTTTTCCCTGTTCTAATTTATTTTTTTATTTTTTATTAACATATAAGGTATTATTTGCTTCAGGGGTACAGGTCTGTGATTGATCAGTCTTACACAATTCACAGCGCTCACCACGACACATACCCTCCCCAATGTCCATCACCCAGCCACTCCATCCCTCCCACCCCCTCTCCACTCCAGCAACCCCCAGTTTGTTTCCTGAAATTAAGAGTCTCTTACGGTTTGTCTCCCTCTGGTTTCATCTTGTTTCATTTTTCCCTCCCTTCCCCTTTGATTCTCAATTTCCTTATCTTTAAAATGTGAGAAATCATAGTTATCTACCTCACAGGATTGTTGTGGACTAAATGAGTTGATGTTTATAAAGGACTAAGAATAGCCCCAGCCCGCAGGAAGTACTGTTTACCCGTCAAGTAAATAAAGAGTAAGAGGCCTCACAAAAGTTCAGTCTGGTGAATATGCCATACTTGAGCTTTGTAAGCCCACGTATTTAATTTTAAGAGTACATTGACAGTAGATCCATCTCTCCAGAGTAAGACTCAAGTTAACCTGAGCCTGTGAAGACTGATGTCCCCCAGAACACCGGGTTACTAATGAAGAACTGTCCCGTCACAGGGCCTTATTGCTCCCATTATTCAGTCTTTCAGTCAACAAATACTTACTGAGCACCTTCTGTGTGTCTGGCAGTATTCTAGATGCTTGTGGTACCTCAGGAAAACAAACAAAGCTCCTCAAATAGCTCATATTCTAGTAGAACTAGCACATTGTTTTCCTGCAGACAGTTCTGCATGTGAAGACAAATTGTAATGAAAGTTTGCCTGGTGAGCCTGGGAATCAGAACAGGTATAATGAATTGTCTGTATTTCATAATTGGGATTAACCTGCCTCAGGGTAGCTTTTAGGGAACAGAAAACTCCATTTTATGGGCCTTTATATTAGACAGGGCTTATAATATGACCACTACCAATTTTCGTTTCTTTGAGCTTCCTTTTTCTATAATTGATTCTCAGTCTCAGTTTGGCAGGGCACATCTGTCTACCATACCACTATTGGTACATACCATTACAAACTTATGTAGCAACAGATGTAACTGACAGGACAGTGTTAATCTATATGAATAGTGTGGTAGCTGGAAAAGGTTAAGCGCTCCTGAGCTGTGTTTCCACAGCCTAAAATGGTATAATATAAATTATTAAATGTCTATTCATCATCACATCATCATTATTACTACTGCAATCTTGGCCTGCCTTCAAAAGCTGTGACCAATTCATCTTGATAGGAGTGGAAATTGATAAACTCTTAAGGCATAGGTTTACTGCCAGGCTCTTGATTTGCTCTCATAGGTGACTAATTACCTGTGCTGAGTGTCTATACATTTTTCTACTTCAAATCTCACCCTACTTCTCTTCTTTTTAAATGCTTGGAGTACCTAGGTTCCCAATATCTAAATTTTTCGTCATTGCATTTTCCTTACCATAAACAAGATACTCAAGCAGTGTTTGAAGATACTGATCATATTTTATTATGTTGCCTTTCATACAAGAGCAACTGCCTAGCCAAAATTCTCAGACTTTAATACCAAACTGCTAGGTCCTTATTGCTGAAGAAATTTTGAAATCTGCAGTATAAATTTAATGATAATGAAGTAGAATAAAAATCCTAACCAAAAAAAGGAGAAAACTATTGCCTTGGTTTTGCAAATGACAGTTTCTAATACTTTTCTTACTGGATTCTTACATTTAAATCCTGAGAGAGTTTTCCGGTGTAGTTAACCTTCCAGTAGGACAGAAGACCTAGTCATGACTAGAAAATAAAAGAAAGTATATCTTTAAAAATAAGCTACTGGCAGGGGCGCCTGGGTGGCTCAGTCAGTTAAGAGTCCAACTCTTGGTTTGGGCTCAGGTCACAATCTCACGGTTGTGGGATCAAGCCCCATGTTGGGCTCTGTGCTCAGTGTGGAGTATGCTTCAGATTCTCTTTCCTTCTCTCTCTGTCAAATAAATAAATAAAATCTTTTTAAAAATAAAAATAAACTACTGGTAAGAAAAACTTGAAAGGGCTCATGCCTTTTGTACAAATACACAGAAATCTGTACAGCGGTATTCAGTAAAGCACGTTTATAACAGTAAAATTAGATGGCCTGCCTAGCCAGAAAGACTGCTTAGACTGTAATAGTACTAAATTCTCATAGTTTTCTGAGGACCGACTCTGGGCCAAACACTGTGCTTACATTTCCAGATCTATTTACATTCCCTTAATCTTTACCCTAAACCTGTGACAGGCATTGGGAGCTCTATTTTATGGTCGAAGAACCTGAGGCTTCAAGAAGTCCAGGAACTTAACTAGTAAATGGCAGAGTCAAAAATCGAACTTACGTCTGACTTCAAGGGCTACTCTATCCCGTCCCCCGTGTGATGATGTATCACAGAACCATTAAACAAAGAGCTAGAGCAACAATCATCTACTTGTAAAGATATCCAAAATATATATGTTATGTGAAAAATATATAGTATGGGGAAAAGGTTGCAAAACAGTATATGTAATATGACCTTTTATAAAAATAAATTCTTAATATTAAGTCTAAGTCTAGCTATAAAACGTCCAAGAGATTCACAACAAATTTTAAATGTTTATCCCTTAAAAGTGGGAATACTGACTTCACTATATAATTTTAAGTTTTTAACAAGTGTATATTACCATTGTAGTTTTTTTAAAGACTTTTTAAAACTCGAATACATGAGAGACTATGGACTCTGAAAAACAAACAGGGTTCTAGAGGGGAGGGGAGCGTGGGATGGGTTAGCCTGGTGATGGGTATTAAAGAGGGCATGTATTGAATGGAGCACTGGGTGTTATACGCAAACAATGAATCATGGAACACTACATCAAAAACTAATGATGTAATGTATGGTGATTAACATAACAATTAAAAAATAAAAAATAAAAATCAAATACATATTTTAAGAAAAAATGAAGATTTTCACTGCTTTCTGTCTTTTAGGTGATTCCAGTGAATTCTGCAGGCTCTCCTGTTGGGGATGTGCCCTTCATCCGGTCAGGACTTCTGGGGTTTGTAGGGCCGGTAAGTGATACATTCATATTTGTTTTGGTGTATCTGATCCAGATATTTGTACTTTACAAAAGTTTCTGTCACAGAACAGAAGAAATTCAGATTAGTTCAAGAGTGTTACAGGGCCTCTCTTAGATTTAGAGCAGTTTTTTTAAAAATGTCATAAACTGAGTTAATATTTATTGCTTTCATTACCCAAGTTCATTTGACTCCTTCAAACTAAGACTTTTTTACTTTCAAAGAAAAACTCTTCGTTTATTCTTGCTCCATTTCTTTGATTTGATTTCTATGTTTCAGTAAGTTAGAAGAATGCTGAGAAAAGTTACCTTAGCAAAGGGACACCATAATTGTGTACAAAGCATTTTCATACAAATTAGCAGCACTACACCATGAAATCAGTTTGCTTTCCAGCAAGTGGTGTTTACAGGCACTGACAGAGACAATTAAAATGCAAAGTCTCTTCTCAGAGAGCTCACAGTTAGCTTCATGAGCCAACAAGGAAGGTAGAGAGGCAGGCAGATCATGAAGGATTTTACATGACATAATGGGAAGTTTGATTATATTTTGTTAGTAACAGATATTCGTGATCATAGTTAAGCCCATATATCTCCATCCAACTCTAATTACCTCCTTACTCTTTCTTCTCCTCTTAACAACTCAAGTTACGTAAGGAAAGATCTAATTTTATTTCTTCCCCACCATTTATGGGGGCAGGGGCGTGAGGGGCACACCTCTAAGAGGATCGCTGTCCTAGAAAGAGAAATCTATAACCACTGTCTTGACTTCTCCTCTCAGCACCAAAAAGTTCTCCAAAACCCAGCCCCTTTTAGTTTACCTCTCCATGACTGAGGTCCAAGATGGAGCTGCGGCGTCCCATCTGCATTCCAGGAAACAGGATAGAGTGCAGTCCTACCATCTCCTAAGGAAGATTTCCTGACGCTGCTGAGCAACACTTCCCCTTATGTCTCATGGGTCAGGGGGCACCGAAATAGTCTTTATTTTGGTCAGCCATGCCCAGCTGAAAATTCTGCTGTGAAAGAAATGGAGAAATGGACAGATCTGTGTCTGTCTTTCTCTTCACTTACTTCCACCATAGCACTTTTCAGACTGTGTTAGAAATGGCTGGTTCCTTTCCATCTTCTGAGATTGACCAGTAGCTTCCTGAGGCTAGAAGTTCTACTTTACTTACATAACCCAGTCAGTGAATGACACTACATTATGCGCGATAATTCAACGGGTGACATTCATGTGGAGATGACTACTAGATAATTGAATATGTGTAAATTGTCCAGGAAATTTAGGACTTGTGTAATGAACAGAAAAGTCAACTTATTGTAAATGGGTCTAGGGGAATTATTGAGAAGTATTATTTGTACAGTGATGCTTTTGGGGGATTGCAGCTATGTTATCTTCTTGGAAAGGAGAGGCTCCTCCAGTGTTTCTTAAACCTTTATTAGCCTATTTTTCATCTTGCCAAATGGAAACAGCATTACCCTTGTAAACCTAAAACAGGCGTTCTCACATTCAGCTGTTTTAATTTCTTCCTAATTCCAGTATTAAATGAGTTAACCATTTTTTTCTTTGCATCCATCTTATGAATAGGTACATAATCATGTCTGAGAAAATAAACTGTGCTTGTGTGGAATCCTAGTTGTTTTCTTAATAAAATTCCTCCCTGAGAATAAATATCAACAAATTCCTTTCTTATATGCTGTAATTAATTGTAATATGCTACTGATTTCCCCCCTGATTTTTGAGGTATGAAACACTTTTTTTAGAAGCCATAAAACACAGTGTTGTTTTCTTATATTTTTGATGAGCCCTATTTCAAGGTAGGAAGTAAAATGTCTGTTTTACTATTTAAATAATGGAAATCAAGGTAAATTGTTGTTATCTTTCAGGGCAGTTTGGTGTTTGTAGTTGGAAAAATGGATGGGTTACTGATGGTTAGTGGTCGAAGACATAATGCTGATGACATTGTTGCTACTGGATTGGCTGTTGAATCAATAAAGACTGTTTATAGAGGAAGGTGAGTAGTAAAAATTCAAATGTTAGCACTTCCAGTGGAATCTAAATGTATCTTTACAGAGTGATTTTAGTTGTATTCTGTAGAGTCTCTAAGTGATTGGGTTATTTTTGGCTAAGCACAGCAGGAGTTGGCCTTTGAATATTTGTCTTAACATGGCGGGTTCTTTGGTTGAAATTGAGAGGAATAGAATATAACCATATCCTATATTTCAATTTTTAATTATTACTCTTTGTTGAATTCTGAGGACTCTGGAGAATTTTACTAAAACATTCAACTTCCTACATCTGTCAATATAGAAGTAGTGCCATTCAGGCTAATTAAGATAGATGCTACATTGTAGGAATTTTATATCTGAGAATTGTTTCTCTTACTCATCTCTAACTAAATTATTACAACATTTTAACACAGAGATTGACATAGTACACAAGTGCTAATTTCAAATTCCATGGATAAAGTCAATTACAAATCCTTTTTTCTTCGCTTATTAACACAAGAAAAGATATTTGGTACATACTTGAGTAGTTGATGTCTATCCAGTAGTTTATAATCATGGATATATATATTTAAAGCACTCTGGGTATCCCTTTAGTTTTTTAAGAAGTAGGAAAAATTAATGAAACCATACAGAACCAGTTCCTAAAATGTGTAGTTTTTGTAATGACATGACTTCCCCTGAGATGTAAACTCCGTGGGGCACTTGACCTTCTCTCTTTGGTCACTGTTATATCCCCAGCACTCAGCACAGCACCTGGCACACAGTAGGTGTTCAATAAATACATGTGGAAGAAAGGAAGGAAAGAAGGGCATATTCAGCTCTCTAGTGACTTCCCATTCTTTCAGACATCCATTCAACAAATATTTATTGGATGCAACTGTGTGCCCCTGTTCTGGACACATGTGTCAGTGAACGAAACAGGCCAGGTTTCTGCCCTTGTGAAGCTCACATTCTCATCAGGGGAAACAGTAACTGCAGACACAGGGAAATCGAGAACACGGGGTTGGGTGAGAGCGTGCTTGCCGGTTTGTATAGGGTGGTCTGGGAATGCCTCACTAGTAAGGGGACGTTTGAGCGGAGACCTCACTCAGAACATCCCCCTCCCCTTGGCCTGCCAGGTCCCCCTGCCTGCCCTGGTCTGGGTCTGACCTCTCCCCACCACTCTCTGCTTCACTACTCTGCTCCAGGCACACTGGCCTTCTTGCTGTTCCTCAAACCTGCCAAGCTCGTTCCTACCTCAGAACCTTTTCGCTTTCCGTTCCTTCTGCCCGGAAACCTCTTCCTCCAGATCTTCGCATGGCTCGCGTCCTCACTTCACTCAGGTCTCTGCTCCAGTGTCCACTCCTCAGGGAGGCACTCCCCCACCACCCTGCCTTCAGTGGTGCGGCCACCCCGCACACCGCTCTGCCCCTCGCCCTGCCTTGCTTTTCTTCCCAGTGTATACTACAACATGACGTTATTTTATATTTATTTGTTCTGTCTCTGACATGCAAGCTCCATGAAGACAGGGACTGTGTCCTATTTATCACTGTGTCCCAGTGTTCATGCCAGTGGTGCTTATTAGTACATGTTCTGAGTCCTCGTTTTAATGGTAATGACCGTGGCATTTTCTTTTCTAAACAACTCGCTTCTGGCTAGTGTGGTGGGGATGTCTCCTCTCTGTTATTCCAACTGAGCAAAGCAAATAGGTCTGGTTGTGAAGGGAGTCCTGACGTGTTTGATCTGTCTCTCTTAGAATTGCTGTGTTTTCTGTGTCTGTATTTTATGATGAGCGCATTGTGGTGGTTGCGGAACAAAGACCCGACGCTTCAGAGGAAGACAGTTTCCAGTGGATGAGCCGAGTGTTGCAGGTGAGCGCACACCCTTGGTATCTGTCAGGACAGGTTGGCTGTGCCTGTCAGAGGTGGCAGCAACCACTGAGTAAGCCTTTTCTTTGTTGGGCTACTTATGACACCTTATTTTTTTCTTGCCAGTCAGTACTCAAACATTCTGGTTACTCTTAGCAAAATAATATAATTAGTACCATTTCTCCCTCTGGTCTGCATAGTGTTTTTCTGCTCAGGTTGCCAAGAACAGTGAATTGACCTGCCTCAGCAGATTCTTCCACTTTTTTTTTTGCGCCTGAGTGTTTAGTAACCATGAAAGTTTAAACTGACCATGTGTGGAACACATCTTTGACAGAAATCAATCCACTTGTCAACAACTACAGTCCTACTACATATGTTCTGTAATGGGTGCCTAGCATGCAGGGATCCAAGCAAATGTAAGATGTTGTTCTTATGCTGAAGGAGCTTTCCTATGGAGTTAGAGAGCTAGGTGAGATAACCATTAGGGAAAGAGAAAGACCTGGGCTCTGTGTAAGGGATACATCACTAGTTGGGAGGGTTGGACGGATAGAGTGATGAAAAGAGTCTAGTCTTCATTTGAAATTACAGCCTTTGAATCACAGTGCCACTCCGTACCAGATGTTACTTAACCTTACTGAGTTTATTTCCTAACCTGTAAGTTGGGGATAAAATGATAGAGCTATGGGAGGGATTCAGTAAGATCGTTATTCGAAGTATACAGGGTGTATTTGGTAAATAATGATGGTGATTATTATTAACATCAAAAATAATCATCATAGGGGCGCCTGGGTGGCTCAGTCATTAAGCGTCTGCCTTCGGCTCGGGTCATGATCCCAGGGTCCTGGGATCGAGCCCCACACTGGGCTCCCTGCT